TAATGTCACATATGACAACGGAGATGATATTGAGGATGTATTGGCAAAAGAGGGAAATCAAACATCGAAATTTCTGGAGTATATGAAAACATGTAGTATCAACTCTGATGCAAAGGAGTTGACTTACATTGATTTTCCTAAATTCTTTGTGTGGAACAAGTCAAATAAACTATGGACTCAGCGTCAACGGAATACATCTATTGGTAGAATCTATCATACTACACCATCTGCGGGCGAACGCTTCTACTTGAGCATCATGATAAACAAAGTTAAATGACCAACCTGCTATGAAGATTTATGCACCGTTAATGGAATCACATATCCAACCTACAAGGAAGCTTGCTTTGCTCTAGGTCTACTTGACGATGACAAGCAGTACATTGAAGCAATCATGGAAGCCAGCAAAAACGCATCAGGCTTTCATTTACGTCGAATATTCACCTATCTTTAGTCTCAGAAAGCTTGTCACAACCCGGACATATTTGGTTGGAAACATGGCATTTGCTTGCGGATGACATCTTATATAAGCAACGTGCAATCCTCCAACGATCAGGTTTGTCCTTACACAAGAGACATTTTTTTCAGAAATTTACATATTTACCTTATAGTTTCAAGAAGATTATATATTTATAAATATATTACATGGGCAATTTATACGAACCTATTTCCCATTTACTATGTTCATAAACAGAATGTACATTACCATATATTTTCAATTACATAATCTTACATCTAATTTCTTACACATTCTACCAACTACATAAATTGTACTATTCTCTTATTAATTTCCATATGGTTTCAAATTTCAGGACTAGAAATGTCAAGTGATCAGCTAAAGAATCAAACTTTGTTGGAGATTGAGAAGCAGTTGCGCTCAAATGGGAATACCCTACAGAACTTCCCATCTATCACATTTCCTATAAATAGTAACATCCCAACAATGGTTAATAGATTGATTAATGATGAAATCTGTTATAGCATACACGCATGTACTAAAGAACATCAAACATTGTTGCCTAGATTGACATCAT